GGAGACCATGGTAGGTGCAGCTGGCGGTGCGGGGGAGGCGACGCGGCCGTACACCTCCTGCGGCAGGTCGGCGGGCTCGAGGCTCTGTTGCGCGCGTCGCTCGTTATCCTCTTCCAGCTGTGCGAAGATCTGATGAGGGTCGCGTGTCACTGGGCGAGTACTTGGCGACGCGGCGTACGGACGTACCTGTTCGATGAAGTCTGTGCGGGGGTCGAGGAACGTCGGTGTGACGTTCAGGCTGGTTTGGACTGCGGTCATGATTACAGTTGACGGTCGGTGCTCGGAGGTCGCGGGCTCGACGTTCGGCCGTGGGTGATATGTTTGGGGAGCAATGGTGGAGAAATCAAGAGAGGGCGAGGAAGAGAAGGGTGTGAGGGGCCATGTTGTTTAAACGGATGATTAGCGTTCTCGAAGCGGGGGAAGCAAGTATCCACACGCGGGCATGTCAGAGCGGAAGAGCGGGTACCGGGCCGCAAGGACTGGCAGGCGGGGGCGCGACGCAAGATGGACCGGCGCCAAGGAGTGAGGGCGGGCGGGCGCCATCATCCATGTGCGCGCAGGCGCACAGAGGGGTGGGCGGGGAGGGTCGCTGGGAGCGACGGACGGGGGATGGGCCCGCGGACGCATGGTGTGCTGCCTAAGGCGGTCGGCTCGCGGCGGAAGCGAGGATAGGCGCCGGCGCGCAAAGTTGCAACTTTGCGCGCCCTATTTGGCGCAGAAGTTACAACTTTTGATGTACAGCCTTCGGCTTCCGCCGTGTTCGCTATGTCGACCGTCTCGGCTACAGCGCGCGAAATAGCGGCTGGTGAGTCTCAATCATATTGCAGATCTGTGCAGTACTCACCAACAGGTGCCGCATATGCAATGGCCGCAAAAATAGCGGCGAGAATGATAGCAAAGCGCATGATTGGACAAGCGGTAGTTGCGAGGGGGTTTGTTGGTGTACTGTTGGGGTCTGCTGGTGTGCAGATGCTGCAACTATCGCTCCGAGGCCACTGCTTTATATGAGCCTCATACGAGCGCCCTTGCGGATGAGAAAAGCTGATATTGAACTCTGACTTACCTATACCTTTGCAGGTACAACTTAGGCCCGACGGGTTCCTCACTGGCACAAGCCCGCGACGGATCAAGGCATCTCAATGCCTTCCGGAATATAATTCGACCGGGTGGAGAACGAGGCGTATGCTGCAGAGTACTAAATGCGGATGGGAAAGCCTATTCTAGACGGTAGGTGACGGTGACCTCTGATCTGGTCTTGTACCTGCTAAGCTGGCCGCATGCGACGCACCACTTTCCCCCAAGTGAGGACGGTTTCGAGCGACATGCCAGTGTCGCTTTCCAGTATGTAGTGACGTCGCCCTCGCGCCGAATGGAAGCTCATCCTAGCCGTCCACGCCAATACAGACTGTGCTGGAACCGCAGTTGCCGTGACTGAGCCAGTCGGGCTTGGACGCGGAGAGAAATCATTCGCAGTTACTATCAACACTTCGTCTCATACATACATCAGGTTCGTACCCTCTGCGTCCTCTCTGCGTCACGAGCTCGTTGTCTTGTAGTTGTCCGACACCAGCTTGTATACCTTTTCCCAATCTTTGCACGACCTCGAGGTCTCCGCGTAAACGGTCCTTTCTCCCGGACTCGGAACGACAGGTTCGATCGTGGAATCGGCCTCGCAGATGATGGCCTGTCGCAGGTAGTTGAGACAGTGATGGGCGTGGATGGATGGCTGTCTTGCACCAATGGCGCGACGGATGCGGACAAGACAGTGCATCTGGTGGAAGAGGGAGAGGCCGAATGCCCTCCGCTGGGGGCCCAGGAGAAGGAACCCGCCGCCGTCAGGAAAGATAGAGTCCCATTCGTTTTCCGCGTCGTTGCTGGAGATCTGGTAGTGGACGGTGTCTTCTGGCGTGAAGGAAACTGCTCCGAGGTCCACCGGGTAGTACTGCGGGTAATCATCGCCCACGAATGCTGTGATGAAATGCTTAACGATCGGCCAGGCATGACTGCTCGAGTACAACCAGTGAAGGACGTACTGTATTCGTTGATTGTCTTCACAGATGTTTTTGGTGGGGGCGCACCCCAGATCCGGATGAGGGGCGGGAGGGAGGCGAAGAGTATGAGCAGGATGCCCACAACGAGTAGAGAGTGGGGGAGCCATTGACGAGACAATTGAGTACGGCGAGTAACGCAATGCATGACTGCTTAGAGATGAGAGGAGGAAGCTTGGGATGCGATCGACGTGTTCCGACCTTCAATCGAAAGGTGGGTGGGCGGTCTCCACTGATCCCTTAGTGCCCCTTGACCTTGAAAGTAAAGGCGCTAGCACTCATGTGTCCCCCTGACTTCCCTCCCTCGACCCCCTTTCCATCGTACGGTCTCCGGTCTCCGGAGGAAGCCCAGTAGTATATCACTTTCCCCAGTAGTTCGCTGTTGCCGTGTACGTGATTCGGATGCGAACAGACTCGCCCAGTCCAACACCCTGCTAGATCAATGGTCTATTCGATCAGGCCTTGGAGATTTAATGGAACTACACTTACTAGTTTGAACCCCATTACGTCGTGTAGATGAAGGGACCAAACGTCCATATACGCACAATTTTGTAACGTGATCTTATCCACGTTGAAACGTTGACCGAAGGGCGTTGCACCTCAGAATGTCCCACTAGCTGGCCATCGCAATTTGATCTCCCGTATACGATATCTGGTAATTGTGACTTTATATATGCTTTCAAGCGGGGCTACACGCGTCAAGCGTGCCCCACTTCATCAGTCCATCCCGCGTAGTTCTCTTCCACCTTCCTCCACAACAGGCTCCAATCCCGACACTGATGCTCAAAGCCCAATCCGTCTATCTTTTCCGCATTCTCCCCAAGTGTCTCGTCCTTCTTCATCGCCTCCAGCCGCACGCTGCTGGCGCAAAGCAACATCTGGCGGATATGGTTGAGGCAGTGCTGGACGTGCGAGTCGGCCTGCTCCGTATTCGGCGGCTCTACCATCGCGCGGCGCATCTCATCGAGACAGTGCAGCTGGCGGAACATCGAGACGCCGAAGAGCCGCCCTTGCGGGCCGAGGCGTACGAAGCCCTCTGATCCCGCTGGGTACATCGATGACCACTCTCGCGAGTTGTTCGGGTGATAGTGGACCGTCTCCTCGATGACGATGGCGGCGTCCCGCGGGTGCTGGAAGAGCGGGTATAAAGTTGGGGGATGGTCCGACTCCAGGAAGCCTGTATCGCAGCTATCAGTGCTGTCCTTGAGTGTGTTTCAACACGGGGAAACACACTGACTGAAGTCGCTGGAACGCCATTCCACACTGCCGATGGCCGCAAAGTTGGTGTATGCTTTGAAGTTGAGGAGGAGCCCGAGCGTGAAGACGACCGCGGATAACACGAAGTAGCTCCAGCTGCGCACGGTAAGGGGAAGGGGGGACATTCTGCTGGCGGGGTGCTTCGCGGGTTTCATGATCCTGCGTAAGCAATATATAGGGCGAGTCCACCATGAGGGCATAAGGTCTCGAACCAGGGTAGCCAATGTGGAAATACAGATCCCTAGATCGCGCAAAGCAGAGTTTAAAATTAGTTCCACAAGGCCCCGAGCTGTGAGGTGACTTAGATCTATAACCGATAAGCTGTCCATGTCGCCCACGGAAAAACGGGCGGTGAAGAACTCATCGACAGAAGATATAAACAGCTCGACGATGTTGGTTTTTGGATTCGAGCGAGCGAGCGCCTGCTCGACGGCGTTTGCCGAGGCGTTCAGTATCGCGGCGAGATCGTTTTTGGTACGCTATCCGTTTGCCTCTGTACCACGACACTACTGTACAGGACAACCGGAATCAACTTGTGTCTACTCTCGATGACCCAATTTCTCGCTTGCTCCAACAGACGAATGGTGGTATGGGCAGAAGATGATGTGGTCTCGGCGAAGACGTTAGGGATAGAAGGCCACCAGAAGCCAGAGTATAGACTTCCGCCGAAGAGCGAGTTATTGAGCTCTTGGTGCGCTTTCCGGGGTCCTCTTGAGCCCTCGCGGGCGGTGCATGAAAGCGTTATCCAGGTAACACCATCATCTGCACGAAGGCAGGCATCTGCAGGAAGGCAGGCATCTGCAGGAAGGCAGGCATCTGCAGGAAGGCAGGCATCTGCAGGAAGGCAGGCATCTGCAGGAAGGCAGGCATCTGCAGGAAGGCAGGCATCTGCAGGAAGGCAGGCATCTGCAGGAAGGCAGGCATCTGCAGGAAGGCAGGCATCTGCAGGAAGGCAGGCATCTGCAGGAAGGCAGGCATCTGCAGGAAGGCAGGCATCTGCAGGAAGGCAGGCATCTGCACGAAGGCAGGCATCTGCACGAAGGCCTAGCATCATGAGGCATCAAGCGACTTACGTAGACTAGATAGGTGTCGATCTCGGTGTTGAACCGCTGGACCATCTCGTCGCTGTAGGTCTTCACTACCTCGGCAGTATCAGACGCGGAACGACCGGCATTGTTGCCGAGGGCGTTACGACTGGCGCGGCCGGCATTGTTGCCGAGGGCGTTACGACTGGCGGAGGCGGCGCGCCTGTGACGCGGCGGGCACGCTGTGGTTAGCGCTGCCGACGTCGTCTGCGGCGACGTTATCTCTCTCTCTTCTCAAGCGCCGCTACGCAGTGGCAAATTTAAACACACATTAAAGTTGTACCATCTCTACTCACCCCTCACTCATCGAACGCAACATGACCGCTTTACCTCCTGCTACAGACGTTGAACATCTGCTTATTGATGGTCCGACCTCGACTGCTCGCGGCGCTTACCGCAATATCATACTGCCTGCGGAACAGGCGGCAGCCCTCTCGAAAGACGACAAATCTAAGCTCATCCACGCTCGTGTTGTCGGCTATCTTCTCCTCTATCCTCCATCTCAAGAAGCTCGTGGGATCCTCGCGCGCGAGATAGTCTCCTGCGAAAGAAAATGCTTGAACGAACGGCATGAAGCCGTCTTCGCGCTTGGCGCTATGTACTTGAGACATCTCATATGCATCTGTAAGCTGCTGTCTTCGCTATCGAGACATTACAACGTACCTGAAATCGCGCATCGACAGTCAGACAGTCGAGGGGCAAAACCCCGATCCCCTCTTCCCATCCGTCACGGCCGTCATTCGATCGTGCAATGGAAGAATGTCTCCAAGACCTGCAGCACGCCCCACGAAACCACTCTAGCGCGAAGGCCTCCGTATAGACAATTCCCTGTGGCGATATAGCATCCTGATCGTGCTCACGACTCCTCCATAGGCTCTCGTACGGGACAATCATCGGTGTATGGTTACCGGCCTACCCGATTATCAGGCGTTATCGCTGAACCTCACCCCCGCGCTGCCTAACAATGATTTTGCGATGACTCAATGTTCCCACATCTTTCCAGAGGTTTGGGGGAACATCGTGATCGGCGGGTCTGCAGCAAATGTGAGTCATGCCTCCGTGTTTGTCTCGGTGTGGAAATTGTTAACACAGCAGGAACCGCTCCAGGAGAAAGAGGCTGCGACTTCATGGAACACACTGAAGCGATTCGGGTGTGCGGATGTCTCCGCGGAGCTCGGGTCGGCGACCCAAGGGGCCAACCTGCATAGGCTGGAAAATATCCTCACACTTGATGTCAGAATTCACCTTCTCTTCGACGCGATGAACCTGTGGTTTGAGGCTGTCAAGGATCAGGTATGCGATGCTTCTATCATAGTATGCTGTACGGCGACTCGACACTTATCGTCTGTGGCAGCCAAACTGCTACAACGTCAAGCTTGCTCCCAACAGGCCAGGGAGACCGCCCTTTATCCCAGAAAGGGTGCAGTTCGTCTCTCATCGCCCTGAATTGCCTCTCCCCAGCCCGAGGTACCTCGAAGTTCACGCAGCCTGCTGTCGGGTCGCACACATGTCGGGTGCCGCCGAGTATCTCGACCTCATCTACCGCCACATGGAAGAATTGGAGGTCTTGGCAAACAACGGCGCATCTGCAGACGTGCTTACCTTTGCCCTTCACCGCCGACTCGCAGTAGTAGACCCTGTCTAGTAGAAGCTTGGTCTCTTGTTAGTCAACAACATGATGCACTGACGCTACTTCCGTGAAAGCTCCATGGCCAAGGGTACACAGTATGCACCACTATCTTTGATACGCAGGTAGACATTCTGAAGAGTACCAGGAAGGTCAAAGCGAAAGTCCTGCGTGTTGCTGGGCCATCGCGAGTATTTCACCGTGATCGCTTGAAGCGCGGTTTGGATGAGAACCGAGTCCTGACGACGGCGACCTCCAGGTGTCCCGGTAAAATTCCCTGCACGATCAGTCCATATTTGTCGTCCTCATCCCCGTGTCTGTCCGTGATCGTATGCATGCGTATTTTACCAGCAGTGAATATCTTGCAACTAGTTCGTTGGTGCATAATTTTCGTCACATCTTGTGGCTCAAAACTTGCGGCATGTACTTGAAGGTCCATGTCGTCATAGCATACTTGTCATAAGAATACGTGTCGCGCGTAAGAGTCATGCACACTGTACCATGCCACAACGAAGGCCTACGTAGCAGTCTCTGCCGACGCAGGGCTCGCGTCCTCATCGTCCACCAGTCCAAGCTCGTACACGATAGTGTCCAGCACGACCTTTGGCTTTAGCAGCATCGTCGCCTCGCCTTCGCCCTCCACCACGCCGGCCGCCTTGTGCACCCGCCTTAAGCCAAGGTCCGCAGTCGATAGCACGCGCGGGACCATCCCCGGCGGCCCAGCCATCGCGACCTCGCCCCCATAAATGTCGTCCATCTGCACCGCGTCGAACACCGTGTCGAAGTGCACGATGAGCACCTCGTAGTCGCACGCGACGACCTCCTCGCCGATCAGGCGCTGCAGGTCGAGCGCGGTGCGCACGATGGTCTCGAGGTGCCGCGCGTACGCCGCGTGCACCACCTCCGTCGTCGTCGCCGCGCCCGCGACGGTGAGCAGGTCCGCGATGCGCTCGGCGAGCTGTTGCGAGAAGCCCGCAGCGAGGTCGCGCCCGTTGTACAGGCGCTGCTTCGAGTACTTCTGCGCGTGCGAGCGCCAGCGGCCCGCGACGAGCTGAGACTCTATGGCGGGACCACCAGGTTAGCATTGAACGGGGATTCATAAAAGCAGCTCACCTGAACGCAGCATCTGCTTGTATACGCCCATGAAGACGGACCTGCTCTGGTGCTGGAAGTCCCACGCGGAGACGATCTCCGCAGCGAAGCCGACCATGTCCGCCTTGAGGGCAATGTCGATCAGGAGCGGGTCGTCCTGGTGCTGAATGGTCTCCAGGAGCTCGGCCATAACAGGGCCCATGGCCTCCCGCGCGCGTTCGAACGCGAGCGCGGCCCTGTCTGGCTCCGGCGCCTCGGCCACATGGAAGGAGTTCGTGACCTGTGTCGCGACCTCGGAGATCTCGAGGTTCAGCGTCCGGACCATGTGGAGAATGACCTCGTCGTACGCGGAGATGACCGCGCGTATATCCGGCTGTTCGCTCGGAGCTCCGTCAGGCACCGCGGGGCGGCGTTCTGGGGAATCAATTGTCGAGCCGTGTTTGAGAGAGCGGGTGCGCCGGAGATTGTTCTTCAGATCGCGGATCTGCTCGCGCTGCGCCACCAGCTCGGCGTCCTTCTGGCGCAACGCCTGCTGCTTCCTGCTCAGCTCCTCCCGCGCTAGGCTGTCCATCCGCGACCAGAACTCGGACTCGCCGCGTTTCTCCTCCTCGAACCTGGTGGCGCGGCGTCGCTCCGCGACCACCTGCGCCATGAGCTGCTCGCGCTCAGCCTGCCCCCTCTCCATCTCCCTCTGCAGCACCGCGTTCTGCTCGCGCAGTCGGCGCGTGACCGTGTTCGCGTAGGTGATAGTCGTGAGCAGCAGCGCAATGCCCCAGACGACGTTCGAGAAGGAGATGGGGGAGGACGGCATGGCGATGTGTAGTGTGGATGCGTTCAGAAAGTTGGGGGACCCATCAGAGATACTGGGGAGCGAGAAACGCGCTCCGCTGGCCACATATCGTGCTGGGCCACGCCGCCTCCGCCAGTCAAGGCGGTGCCTTCGTCAAAGGTAACGCCCTCCGCATGCCCGCGGCTGATGGACTCACGGGCCTCCGGTCGCGTTGGCGTCGAGCACGAGGCGTGGGCGCCCGTACGCGTTCGGGGCGCGTTTCGCGAGGGGAGCTCCCCCATGGAGCGCGCCTCGGACAGGGAACATGGGCATGAGATGTAGATGACGCACACGTATGACCGGGTACCTGTACACCGACGCAGAGGCAGTGAGAGATGGGAGGTTGTTGTTCACCTTCGCTGTCGAGGTGGAGGCTTCACGGAGGCCCACAACCTGCCACTCAATCTAGAACGCCACGCCGTCGAGGGCTGGTTTCCGGCAACATCAGTCACCGCGCAGCTTCTCGAGCGCGGTAGCCGGCCCCGCAACCCGTGAACGTGGCAAATTCCCCAATGCCATGCGGAAACAGCGTGTTCTCTCGCGCTTCCTAAGAGGCGCCTGAGAAGATGCGTCCAAGTAGTGTCCAGCATCCAAGAGGCACCGACAACGGGTTCACAAGCTCCTAGCATAGACCATCGCTCAGAGAGCGGCTGGGACTGATGAGCGTCTGGGTCAAGAGAGGCTGATCTAGAGTCGTCCGCCGGAGATGTTCTTCATTACCATTGCTGGTCACCGGCTGAGCTCTCCTTCCACCACGGCACGCCCAAGTATGTTTAGCACTCTCCGGCTGCAGACTGTGAGATCCTGTTCCATGAAAGCAATAGAGGGCGCGCGGAATCGGTTTCTTGTATTGTGCAAGCAGTCTCAACCACAGAAAAGCTTTGCTGACACAGCCTGCAGCGAAGTCCAGCCAAAAAGCATACCCGCATGGGAGGTATATACCATGGGAGTCCAATAAGCATAGCCAGTCAGAGCAGATGATGGTCAGAAGAAGAGTTGCGGATGGAAAGACATTGCAGCTCTCGCCCCACCTTGAGTATTTGGTCGTGTTTGTTGTCACTCAGCGACGAGCGTCAACCCTTTTGGAGGTGCCGAAACATACATATGGTGCCACCACATCCCAGTGAGCACTTATAGAAGCGTACATCGCCCGATCGTCTGTAACGCTTATATGCTGAGACCCTCCACCACTATCACAGGCTCCAGATCTTTTTTTAAGGGAAAGTTCATGCATAAAGCTAGAGTCCGAGTCGCCGAGTGCCATTTCGGATAACCCGATCGCGAAGCCATGCTCATCTTACATAGTAGGTACCTTCCCCGGATACTTATATGTTCCACTCTCTTATTCAAGCAAGTCAGTTGCATATAAGCAGAGGCTCATTCGCCGCCACGTAGAAGCCACTCCAACCCCTTCCGCGCGTCATCCCAAAGCTTCGTCGCAACAGACGTGGCCGGGAACTGGGTGTGGAAGCCGTGGATGACGCCGGGATACCTGAGCAATCCATAGTCAGCTACTCGCGTGCAATATGGTTCGGCCCCGACGACGCGCGGAGACGTACAGGTCAAGTTTTGTCTTCACCCCGGCCGCTCTCAGCTCCTGCTCGTAGACGACACCGTCGTCCCGGAGCATGTCAAGCCCCATCACTTGGAAATACGCCGGCGGAAGACCCTCGTGAGATGGGTATAGCAATGGAGAGAACCGCGGGTCAGTCAGAGGTGCCTTGTACAGAACTAAGACTCCGTGAGCACCGCTCAGCATGCGACGAGACGTGCAAACGTGACGCACAAAGCAGGCCATCGAGCCCTTCGCGCGTCGGTGCCCTGGCCATATTGTGCTTCGCGTTCTCCTCCATGGAGCGGTAGTGCGGCTTAAGTCTGGAGATAGTAGTTCATATATGCCTTTGGGCGATTCACTGTACATCCCGCCAACGGGCGGTGCGCGTACCTCTCCGGAATACTATCAGGATGGGCGAGCCAAGGTTCGCGAAGAAACTGCCCAGTAGGCTGTCTCCCCTTGAAGAACGGGTCGTCGCGCGCCTCATGCGCGAGCACTGCGGCGAAGTTGCCTCCTGCTGAGTCACCGATGAGGATGAACCCCTTGGTCAGATCTGCCTTGAGGTCAGACGTGTTCTCGACCACCTGCGCGAGTAAGTGAGGGTGGAAAAAAACAATTTGCTACCCGGGGAACGTACCCATTTGAGAGCCGCGAAGCAGTCGTTGAGCGGGGTCGGGAAAGTGTGCTCGGGAATCAAGCTGGAAGAGACGTGAGCACACAGAGGCGACACACGAGCAGGCATGCGTACCGGTACTCTACGTTAACAACGGTCATCTTGAGGTCCACGGCCAGGCGGCGGAGGTAGTAATCGTCCAAGTCAACGTCGCCGAACATGAATCCTGGAAGAATAGCAACCGCAGACATGAATGAGCATTATGTTAGATCTTGAGCCGTATGAAATGGAAGCGCACCTCCGCCATGCATGTGGAAGAGAACAGGAAACGTAGTGTTCTTGGTCTCGACGGAGGGGACGATGCACCGAACGGATATGGCACCCCTTTCAACAGGGACTGTCTTGTCGGTCACAGTGTAAGTAGATTCTGAAAAGAACATGTGTGAGATACATATTCGGCGCATGCTAAGAGTGACTAATCACCATCCGGAAGTTGAGTCCTCTGCCAAGCTCTGAACGGCTGGGCGAGGGCTTTGTCGACCCAAGCCCTGGATTCTTCAGGCGTAGGCGTCCCTTCTGGAGGAGGCGAGGTAGGGGTCGCAGAGACAGCTGCAGCAAGCTTGGGATCCATAGTGCGGTGAATGGGGTCGATGATCTCTCATGGAGGTACCCCGGGGTACTTATGGACAAACGGATCCTTCCGAAGTGGTGGACCGGTACCGCGGCTAGTGTAGCGTCTAAGCATGTTACACCGTGCAGGAGAGGGCCCCCGAAGAAGTGAATACCGCGGCTCCGGAGAGGTTTATAGTAGGAGTCAGGCAATGAGTCAGAGTGCTGGCAGCGTGAAGTAGGGATCCGGCGGCGAAGCCGATGCCGCCGTGCCGCCCTGAGCGCCGAACGTTTGAGCCACGAGAGTCGCTCGAAAGCAGGATCTCCGAGAGGCCAGTGCACGTATCGAGCATCGGACAGGCGTGTACGTTGTCGCTTCTTCATAATTTCAACTCCATGAAACTTCAAAGAGGATCTGATGTGAGCAGAGAGTGGCCTGGGCATGGCCGGGTGTGTGAGAAGAATTGTAGAAGACATCGCCGCGAGCTCTTGAAGGCCGAGTTGTCACCTTGGCCTTCAAGCTGTCCAAGATACGCAAGATTGAGGGCGGAAGTCCCCGCGTTTTGTGTATACTTCCAGCTGAACGCGATTGAAGCGGGTACCTATACTGAAAGCGCGCAGTACTATCACTCGGAACTGGTGCTGTCCCGTACCATAGCAGCCTAAGGGGGAAAACGCCGTAAACCCGCCCTATACGACTAGCGCGACCAAGACCACATCGGATAGTACGAGAATAAGGCCTATTGACGTCGCGAATTCATCAGTATACGCCACAAATGTCCAATACATTACGCACCGTTCCGTGCAGGAAAGCCCCTTCAAAACGAAGCGCTGCTAGGCGCGCTTGTGCAGATCTCCGACTTAACCCTCCGAACGTGCTTGTCTTCGATGTTTAAGCCCCGCTCGTATTCGACGTCCACTTCCATGCTCTGAAGAGAATCCAACGCCTCAAGGAATCGATGAGCCAGCGCGTCGACCGCCAGTGTGCTCATGTAGACTTCCGTAGCGCATGGAGGGGGTGTCGCTCTTCTTCTTCGAATTGGACGTTCTGTACTCGTGTCGTCCGTGTCGTCCGTGTCAGACGAGCTGTAAACGCAGCGGGAGATCCTTTCCAGCTCGATATTGAGAGATAGGGAGTCGAGGGGAAGGGGCGAAAGACCGTTGATCAAACAGTCCTGATGAACAATGAGCCACCTGCACAGACGACAGTCCGGTCATGCGACATACCAGAAAATCCGGGACATCCGCGATGCACGGTAGATGGAGCTTGAGCCGGAGGTTCAGTACGCGAACGGCGTTCAGAGCAGGATCCCGTAGATGTTCGAGCATCCAGTCGTTGTCGCCTCCCTTGAGCATTCCTGAGTAGATGTCGAGGTCGAGAATCGTCGGGCGTGCATCCGAGAGAGCAGCAGGGAGAAAGAGCAGCTCCTCTCTGGAAACGCCCAACTTCAGATGTCGTATGTGGCACGGCACTCCGACGAGGTATAGATCCAATGCGGCGCCCTTGAACGACTCCAACTTGTTCCAAGGGCCCCGCGATAGGTGTTCTTCCCGATTCTCCTCCCTCGTTTCGAATTGAATTTCGAGCGCCTCGTCGGAGACGTCCAAGCATCCGTGCTCCAAGGTGTATATCTTCAGGTGTTCGAGGTTGGGAAACGCCGTCGCCCATGGCCCTGTGGGGGGACAGTGGCCGTGCATGACGGCGAGCGACTTCATGTTCGGGTATACAGGAATGTCCGGGGAACGGAGTCCCCAACCAAGCCAGGTGTCAAGGCTGAGGCTTCCCAGGGTACTGCGGGCGTTCCTTAGCATCTCGACGGGGTTTACGGCGTTGTAGTCATCCACGTCGTCCTTCCATAGGTGATGGATAGATATCCGTTCGATGATAGCAGTCTCTAGGGGCCAGCGCATATCTTCGAGCATTTGGCAGGTAAGCCCACTGACTCCGATGATTTCCACATGTTTGACACTGGGAAGCGAGGCAAACGCAGGACCAAGATCGGGGTGCGAGCCCAGGATCACTTCGGCGGGTGCGAGCTTGAGGTACTCGAGGTGCGTCGCTTTTCGAATAGCAGAAGCAAGAGCCTTGGCGATGTACGGCCTTTCCAGGAGGTCCGTGTCGATCTCGAGCTCTCGAAGCAGTTGCCAGCGTTGTCCGTTTTGCGGGCGCATGAAACGAAGGAAGCGCTCAATCTGTCGGTCGGAGCGGAGGACGACCGTTCTCTCGTTCAGAGCGTACCGAGCTGCGGTGCCATAGAGCGTTTTGCAAGTTCCAATCAGCATACACAGTGTTGACTGGTCGCAGAAGGAGGCTACGGCCAACAAGACGTCGATGTTCAGCCTAGTCGACATGATCTGGGGTGACAACGATTTTAAATTCATGTTCATTAGCGTCATAGAGGTACCAGCGTACCTTCGTCTCCTAGATAATAAGGTTAAATCAAGTTGAGCTGGTACATGTTTGCAGATGGGCAGGAGGAGAGAGAGGGAGAGAGAAGGAAAAGTCGTTGTCGGAAAAACCGACGTCCGCATTTAGGCGCCCACTTGATGCCAGTGATCGACTCGGGATTCAACATCATTATCTCGTCTTTGGTACGTTCACGCCCACGACCGTTCTTCTAAATTATCACCGAATAAACCTTGCATGATATGAACTAGATGCTCGATTGCGAAGTGCGCTAGTAGTGGCCTATACCGTGCTCGATGACTACGGACCTCTCCCCATTCGTATCGGCCCGCGTGATTTCAACAGAGTTCCCGTCCGGGTTCCAGAGACCCTTCAACTCCATCTTGATGCTCTTCATATCCGGCAGCACGGTTAGGAACCCCCCGACCAGAGCAGGGAGGTTCAGATTATGCAGGTAGCGCCCCGCCTCGCCGTTGGCCACAATGTAATTCGGGTCATCCTCGTCGGGTTTGACGAATGGTGAACCGTCGAAGGTAACGGAGAGTTTCTCTAGCCGTAATCCGCGCACTGTGTGCAGCAGGAATGCCTATCTATCCATGAGTGTACTCGTTTATCTAGAATAGCGGTCAATGACGTACGAGATAGTCCTCGACAGGCGCATCGTGAGATACGTCCTCTGAATGTTCGATAGCGATGTCAAGTGTCCGAAGTGCGGAAGCGCCGTCCTTGTGCAACGTGGCCGGGAGATCGAAGGGACGCTCGTCGAAGAACGCGCCCAGAGTGTTAAGGCGAAGGTAGGCTGGACGCGTATGCTCCAAGAGTACAGCCAGCATGACAAGGTCCGCATCGCTTTTCACCTCGTTTGGTAGGAGATTTTCGACATGGCAGCATAGCCCAAGTGCGAAGAGCGCGCCCATAGAGCCGCTGACCTCATTCAGCTTCTGCCAGCCTCTGATACCACGCTGAGCGCGGAGGTTCCCCGTGCGCTTCGCTTCTAGCAGATTGACTAGTGCGGCAGTGTCGGAGGGAAGGTCGTAATCGGCCCAACGAAGAGTCAGGTGAGAGAGTTCGGGGTACGCCTGGACGAGCGCGGCGGTAGTGGGGAGCTCCTCGCAGTCAAGCGTGAGGTTTCGCATAGCCGGATATATCGGGCTCCCGGCCGGGAAACGATGGCAATCCCACGCTTCGCACTGGAGCCGCTGCAAGCTTTCCCGCGAATGTGCCAGGAGGGTGACAGGATTGAGGTCCGGTGTCGCTGGGAGCTCGTCGTCTTCATCCTCTTGCCAGAGCTTGAGCTGGACATCGACGAGCTGAGAGCGCATGCTCCGGAGCATGCTGTAGCACTTCTTGCCTGTGGAGGAGACCTCAAGGTGTTTGACGGTGCGCAGTTCGGCGAATGCGTCCCCGAGCCCAGGGTGAACGTCGAGCATTGCGTCCAGGTCGATCACGAAGACGAGGACTTCCAGATGTGTCATCTTCTTGACGCACTCGTAGAGCATGTCTGCGACATCTTTGTTCTGGATCCACCAGACGCCGAAGTAAATCTGCCGGAGATAGCGAAAGCGAATGCCGCGCTCAGCGAGGAGGAACAGACAGAATGACCGTAAGAACGCGTCCGTGTCCCCAGGGCTGTCCCGCACAAAGGGGCCATCCTTGAGAACGTATCTGGGACCCGCATAGTAGAGAGCACGACAAGTACGCATGAGGACGGCTACCGTAGACGTGGATGAAACGTCCATGATGTCCAGTAAGATGTCGACATGAAGAGTCGGGCTTCGGGCGGCCATATTGGCGCTACGGAACAACGCAAGTTCAAACGAAATTGGGATTGTAATACAAATAATGGCTTACCCTTTGTGTTTAGCTCGTCTTACAGTGGCGAGACGGGTCCTGGATACTACGCCACTAAATCTGGCTGCAGTGACGTGTCGGATATTCTACTGTAAGAGTTGGGGAGTGAGCACCTGCGCATCATTCAGTCCTCAAATGCAATCTTACGTTTTATATTGATCTAAAATTTGTGCGAACGCGTCTCGTCTAGCACGCTCTTGATGACACGCAAAATGGAGGTGATGGAAGGGAGAAGAGAGCTGACACGCGACACAAGCGCCCAAGGCTACCCAAGGACGCCAACGCCACTACACCGTTAGCACAAGTCTGGTAGATGATGTGTATGATACATTCAAGATGCTGAAAAGAGTGTGCTACAAACACTAGCTGAAAATCGAGTCTGAACCGGGCCCACACCCAGACGTCACTGCATGCAAATCACAGAATATGCTCACTACGTGTTCGTAATGCTACACTAGGTTCGTACAAACGGCCGCCAGTGCGTGCCAATTCGGAAGTCGATCTGCATCGCGCTTCAATGGGCACATACGTCAGCTATCAGCATATGCTTGTATATCACGAGGCACCCCCACGGCGACACTTACCCTTAACACCGGCGTCACGAACCACGGTCCTTTTTTCCCATTACGACACGCCGCTCTGCTTCCGCGCTCGTTCGTGTTATCAGGATGTCGTTGAGTTCAACCGGGATTTCTATGCGAACGGTACTACTAACGTTCGCCCTCATTTTCTTCAGAGTATGCATTCCGTCCATGAACGCGTTGGCCAGGGCACGAAGGTCCAAATCCCGCAAGTACACTCCTGACGCGCCAGAGGGGCGCACGATGTTGGGATCGTGTTGGTCGTACTCAGCGAAGTGCCTGCCTGAGATGTGAAGGGAGAGCTCCTCTAACTGAAGCTGCGTCACGGTGTACTGCATATACTCCTACAGGCGTACGGAGTCAGAATCAAGTTGCGCATACGATTCCAGCGACGCACCATGTATTCGGGAATGTCCAACAGATCGTCCGGGTCAAAATCGAGCCAGAGGTCCAGGCTTCGCAACCCCGAGGCCCCCTCTTGCGAGAAGATCTCCTGCATGGAGTCTTGAATCTCCTCGTCGAAGAACGCGCCGGCTGTGGCGAGGCCGAGATGGGTAGGATGCGTGCGCCTAAGAAGCGAGGACAGCATCACGCGGTCGCCGTGGTTGCGTACGGTGCTGAGATCGAGTCTACGGACTCTGCAACGGAGGGCGAGGGCCCAAATGATTCCCGTGGTGCCTCTGACCTCCTCCAGCTCCGTCCAGCTCAGGCTAAAAGGTGTAGCGGAGTTTGCCTCGAACGCCTCGGACAGCATCACTTCCCAGCTGTCTTCGTCTACGGGGATTTCGAAGTCGACCCAGTGGAAATAGAGGTGTGTGAGGTTTGGGTAAGCCTGGACTAGCGCAGCACGGCTGGGGACGTTTTCGTTGTCGAGCGTAAGACGTCGCATAGCTGGATAGTGCGGGTTCCCAGAGTGGAATTGGATAGGATACCAGCGTTCGCACTCGAGACGCTCCAAGGTCCCGCTCGAGTGTTCCAGCAGCGTGACGGGATTGAGGTCCTGCTCCAGCGTAAGGTCCCGAGTGGTGGTGGCGTGCCACATCTGCAGCTCGACGCTCACGAGCTGAGAACGCATGTTCTTCAACATCGCAAAGCAGCCGGGTCCTCCAGCGGCGACCTTCAGGCGTTTGATCGTGCGGAGGTCGGAAAACGCCACGGCATATCTGGGATGACAATCTAGCAAGGCGTCCAGGTTGGCGTCAAAGATGAGGACCTCCAGGTGCGTCATCTTCTTGATACACTCATAGAGCATCGCCGCGACGTCTTCTTTCTGAGCGACCATGTCGAAACGGATCTTGCGGAGATAGGGAAATCGAGAACCGTGCTCGGCGAGAAGAAAGAGACAGAAGGAGCGTAGCAAGGCGTCACCAGCGCTGTCTTTTATATGAGGGCACTCAACGAGAATGCGTTTTGGACCCTCGTGGTAGAGCGTCCGGCATGTTTGCATCAAAGATGCTATTGTGGGGCTCGGGGAAGCATCCATAATCTCCAACATAACGTCGGTGGGAAGGCGTGGGTTGCCACGTGTCTGCATCCTGTTGCACGTCTCAGCATACATTTGACCATTTATGAGAGGACATAGCGGTCACCTTAATATTTTTGGCTTGTGAGCTCGGCCGGAGAGAAGGATGCGCCGGATAGCTTAGGCTACTCGAATACTTGACGCGTACCCTTGGAAATTCTCCAGTGAATCAGCGGACCGTGTAATATCTGGTATGAACCAAGGACCTTGGGTGATCGTGAGTGCGCAAGCAATATTAAGTATGATTTCCTCATACCGTTAATTCTGCGAGACAGCGACCCCAATTGACAGCTGTAAGAAATCGACGATGGTGGAACGGAGAGAGTTGCCACGCGGCGCTGAAGCGTTGAAGCGCCAGAGGCTTTACCCGGTGAGGCTCTAAAAGCTCTAACATCTACCCGCCGCTCGACGGTACACATCGCTTTCAATCGCAATCCTATGAGGTTAGAAAGCCCTGCATGACACAAGTTATGGTGCACTCCCGGCCTCCAGTGTATGACGCCGATGGTACGCCTCGTCTGGCTGGTGCCACTTCAAGTGACTCCGCGACCCTGGCGTCTTTGCCTCCCACCCATGGCTAGCAGCAGCAAACGGATCCACTTTACTACGAAGGAAGACAACTGGTAGAATGGAGTCTATTCCACAGTAAGTATGCACACCCTCCTAAGCCCACTTCCAGCCTTAGTGCTCACACATGTTAAACTCGACCTCGTATACCTCCTCATTATATGTCATAACAAACTCCTTACGTTCGTCCATAAGCCACTCGCGATGCTGCTCGGCCTCCTTCCGTGACATCGTGCCGGCAGTCGCGAAGTCGGAGATCATCTTGAACAGTTCTGCTGGGAGTTTCTGCAACGCCGGGATGCGGACCATCTCGTCCATGAGCCACTCCTCCTGCTGAGGCGCGGCATCGCTCGTCGAATGAATCCTTGTGTGCGGGTCCACCAAGAAGAAGCACAGAATCTTCCGGTGCCCGGGCTTCGTCGGGTCCGCGAGCTCGAAAGGGTCGACGCGGTGCTGGTAGATGTTCGGGAATGCGATGCACTTGCCCTCCTCTGCGACGACGTGCCCGAGCTCTTGATTGAGCGGATCGCCGCCCCCAAAGCCGAAGACGGTGTAGTAGCCCCTGTTGTCGCTTTGCTCGTAAGGCAGCTGGGGATAGTCCGCAGGGTCTCCTCCGACGACAGTGCGGAACACGAGCCGAGACTGTGTGATGTTCTCGCACGAGTAGTAGTAGAGGCCGGTTGCGACGATCTTCTCGTTTGCCATGCCTTCGACATGCCATGACCCGCCCGGGTACTTCGGGTTCTCCGGAGTGAGGATGATGTTCGCAAGCTTTACGATGACCTGCACTGTGCGGCCGCGGAGCTTCATGTCGACGCGGCCCTCATGACTTGGCGGAGCGAAAGGTGGCGGGTCGGGGATCAGCGGCCACCTCACTTCTTCATACCACTTCTCCTCGGGATCCTCCTCCGCCTCCAGAATGTCCCAGTCGCCAAAGTCGGGCATCTGCAGGTGGTCGTACCACGCCGTCGGTTCCACGTCGATGGCGAAAGGGGGTGGCGGGCTGAGCATGTCGGAGGTTACCCTCTCGAAAAGCGGGATGAATCGCGAGAGGACGGCGGAGATCGCTGTGTAGCCCGTACGATATTTATCTGGGTGGAGGTTGTTGATGTAGGCTAGTACCACGACATCACCCGTGGCAGAGACCTCGAAGTCTGTTGGAAGCCACTGATAGTCGTCGGAGACTACCCTGTACGATTCATGCCGGTATACCTCGAAGTCCGGGCGTTGGGACAGGTATTCGTCCCTGGTCAGGACGTGGACACCATGCGCCTCGCCGTCGATGCTTTTATTGCGGACATATGAATGTGCGATCCTCAGAGGGTAGAGCGACGGGTGCACGAGATCCAGGACCTGTCCGTTAGAGCCAGGGTGCCAATCCTTCTGGTCTTCCGGCACACCCTCGAGGGCAGATACGAGGGCAAGGAGTGAGGAGTTGATGTCCGCAGGGATCAGACTCCGAGACTCGTAGACCTTAGGGATTGAAGTTGCCTATTGCATATCGAGGTCGCGTTAGCACATTTGGTGCGACTGACTACGCCGGACGCCACTCACGAAGATGCCGGTTGCGGCGTCGCGCCGCCTCGCATCGTACTTGAGCTGGTCAAAGATATAGTCCAGCTGTGAGTCCGTTATTGGGTCGCGCGGCCACAGCTTCTCGCCCCTCCCGTGGTCGAAGCGTTCAGTACCGCTCCAGAACTTCTCAACGGTGGCCTTGTCCTGCTCGACCATCTCGGCCCTCCACTTCGCAGCGATGCTTGCGTCATGGACTTTTTCCCACCAGTCCGGTTTTGCGCGAATGAGCCCGGAGAACTTGCGCATGCGGAGCTCAACCAGGGTGATTGGCTCGCGGTGGTGGTATAGCAACGGGGATGCAAAAGCGGGTGCGGGCACAGCTTGGTCGGACGCCATGGCAGCGTTCAAGTCCGCGGCAGTAGGGTGTGGCAGGTGGGGAAGAGATGAACCTGGGTGAACAAGAGCGAGCGAGATCATTTTGTTGGTACGGCTCCTTGTAAGTAATCCCGTTCTGATCGGAATGGGGGTCAGCGTTCACGAGGCACGAGGGAGCGCAAATCCCACCGGAAACTTCCTGTGATGGGCGTTCACCATGGGCTGCATAACGTACATTCATGAGCTGCACAGCGGCGGTTGCATGAACTGACAGTGCCATACGGCAGGAGCGCACTAAATTAATGACCTCTGCGAGATTCGAGCGTAGGGCCTACGTTCGGAGGACTTATTCGAGCCTCGCACACATTCCTTCCACACGCGAAGAAGCCAGTTCCCTGATGGTAGACTCGTGTATGTCATGCCGGGTCCCGTACAAATAAACCCGGCTATCCGACGCATACGGAGCTTGACAAGGGTGACTGGCTCGGGCAAGAAAGGAACGGATAGCGCGTGCGTGTGTTGATTGGTCGCAGATCACGAAGGTGCCTGTGAACTAGGTGAGTCTGTGTAGAACGGAGAATTGCAGGGAACTTGCATGCGTGGCTCATCCTATGGAAGTAGGAGAGGTGGACTCGAAGGTGGGAAGATCAATACTAGAGGCCCATGTTCTGCCGTAACACCACTCAAAACATCACAGGGCACATCTGACTGAGATGGACGTCAAAACCAAAATTTTACAGAGCGAAGAGAGTAGCATTGGCGGAAATTGAAACGTAAAGCAGAGGTATATCGAGATTGCAGAGAGAGAGCATACGTGGGTCGAATGCAGATAATATGTACGTCTGGCGGATGAGATGCGGAGGAGCGATGCAGGAGAGGTCGATATGCAACGGCCATGGTAGAGAGTTCTGGCAATTCCGGAGGGCAGATGAGGTCCTTGTGCTGGTTCAGTGCGCAGACTCGAGGTCGTCATCGTAAACGATCTTGGCCGGGCCGCTGCGAGAACTCATCAGCTAGCGTCCGTACAAGTCCAGCGTAGATGACTCACCGCATTTCTTGACCCTGAGTAAGCACCAAAACCTGAAAATCAGCGGTGCATAGTGAAAATATGATAGCAATGCTTACACCCTCTTCCCATCGTATCTGGGCTTGAAGCTCAGTGAGGCCGCACATCAGGACGATGTCGAACGCCTGAGCATAGTGAATGCCGTTCCGGCCGACTCGCGGGGTCTTGACGACACGCGACGTGTCCGCGTAGATCGTGCAAAGCGTAGTAAAGCAGTCTATGAGTGTGTTAGGATATAGAGGACACGAGACATGCTCGAAGATGCGCACGTGGCTCGAGGTCGACCCATCTGGGGTCCTCTTTCTTGCCCCGGTAGCAGATGATCTCCGCCGACATGGTGTCCAGTGTTTTCACCTCGCGCGACTCCTTGAAGTACCCCTTTGACATCTCTTCGGCGCCGCGGACGCGTGTGCCCTACACATCGAGGTCAGCCTTCCTTATTGAGAGGTCACGAAGAGACATGCCTTGGTGAGAATGGACGAGAAAAAGTCAGGGACAACAACGCGTCCCGACGGGCGGACGATCTTCTTGTAGTTGCGAGCGATGTGTTCGGCGTCTGTCGGGTCATAGCTAGTGTTGATGACGGTTCCGTAAGTCATCTTGATGATGCGGGCTGAGACGAAGTGTTCGAGATAGAACGACACGCCTCCTTCTGCAACAGCCTTGCTCCTACATGATCATGGACGTTGTGATGAGATAGTACACAGACTCGAGCGAGCGTACATACGTGTGCGTATCCGGACGACACAATCCAAGGCCCAAAGGTTTAACCGCTTTCTGTAGCTTGGCGTAGAGCCAAGGGCTGGCCGCAAAGCCGCCCACCAGGAATATCGTCTACGCAATCTTCAGCATCCCACGGACGTGAAATATGATGAAGGATCCTACCGAGATCGGACGTGAGGCCGTTTGACGCTGTTTCTGGACGGCCATCACGATCGCGTCGAGAGAAGGTTTGTAGAACTCTTCCATCTCGGGCCTAGTGCTTCACATTAGCTACCTGAAGTACGGATGCGCATGGCAACATAAACCCACCCGGACAACAGCAACTGGCCGCGACGAATCTTTACCTTCGGATCATTACAGCTCATTGACCCGAACTTGATGTACGACTGCTCGGTCGCGTCCTTGAAAATCGGCTTCGTGGATTTGTCAAAGTACTCGAGCATGGCCTTTATGTCCTCTTCGTTGCCGTAAGCGGAGTTCTTGAGCCTCTCTGAGGAGAATCTCGCGTGAGAAGGTGCGCCACTACAACCGCGAGTACGAACCTTGCAGGAATGTTTTCGCCCTTGCATTGACTCTCGTGGAACCTTGCATGATGCCTGATAGATAGCTCAGTGGTGTGAGCGGACATGCCACAGCGAAAGTACCACTTACAGTCTGCAGAGGCGATTTCCTCGACGGTCAAGGGGCTGGTCGAGACGAAGGCGTAACTGCTGATGTCGACCGTCCCTCCTCCAGCGTCGACGATCATCACGTTCTGCCCGTCCTACAGATATATGCTTAAGCTGCGCACCCCAATCTCGGTCATTGGTCTACTCACCGCGATGTTGTCGGCAGTCAGCCCACTCCGGATGCAGAAGTGGAGACTCGCCTCCCCTTCCGTTACGAAGTGCACGCGAGCATGGCCGTCTGGTGTGTCCGGAACGAGGCCGGCCATGATGGCAGCTTGACGCATCTTGCCCTGCTGCAGGCCCTCCCATCCGTTGGGATGTGACAACACGAACTCGATGTGATCCTCGACGGAGCTCCACAGGCTCTCGCCGTTCGCGTGCGTCTCCTTGATGTATCGCTGTGTGCATTCGTAGAGATATCGCGTGAAGTCAGCGAAGACGTCTAGCACGCCCTTCCCTTCGGGCAGAGGAGGTAGGTCGCGACGTTTGATCTCGTCCGAATCAAGGGTCTCCGGCCTCAAATACAGCTTGAACCTAAGGCGACGCGTCAGCGTGTACCTCGTTGTGTTAAGAGCGGTTGTGAACGCACCACTCCACAAACACCAGGTCCTCGTCTTCGGCTTCGAGCTCCATGCCTGGGAGAGCGGCTTCGGCACCGACGGAATGTACAGTCCCGTCTCGTCGATAGTACAAGATGGACGGGATCTTCGAGTCCCCGACGGCATTCTCCTGGCCGGGGAAGCTACAAACGACCACCGTTTAGGTATTCCGGTGAACCCATATAGTCCCATTGCTTACCGAGTGACACCGGATATTTTGGGCACTTCGCCAGGGTCCAGCACGGCGAAAGCGACCCCGGAGTACGTTGTTCCAACGTCCATCGCTACGACGAGTTTCCGCACAGGGCCATGGTAAGGCGGTAAAGATGTCATGATGTAGAAGTTGAGCGGTGACCACGCAGCTGCCGAGGAGGTGTTGCACCGTGAAGTCCTTTTATGCGGGGACCAAGGGCGCGTGGTTCCGGGCGTGCGCGTGGGCGCTAGCCCCTGTGCGCTGCGGTAATGAGCTTCGGACGACGAGGCGCGGCAGGCCGACCCTCTGGAGCGTTGTACCCACGAGTAGCTCAGCACTCCGGGTTTGCAGCACACCAGTCCTTCCAAGAAGGTACGTCAGCTATGCGGATCAAACCTTCGCTCCTGGGAAGCGTAGAAATGAGGCGCGAGGATACAGCGTGAAGCAACCCGTTCGCACGCACCGGAGAGGTGAGGCTGCCCTGTAGGCTAAGGCTCCTTTGTCCGCCACCCGGACGACAGCCTCGTCTGTCCCTTGTCCGCCGACCACTGTGATGCTGCCGTTCCTGGCCCTCCTCCGACGCATCTACCTCTTCGTCATGAACATTGTTCACCGCTTTTGGAAATCCGACAACGACACCGGGCCGACGAGGCGTTTGAGCGTCGTGAAACGGGACCGTGACTCTCGACGGTCCGACCCCGAAGACATCATCAACCGCCAAGTGGAGGAGATACAGGGGTGGAAGAAAAGAGACCGGGCGTCGCGGGACACAATCAAAGGCTTACAAGAGGACCTACAGGCGTCGCAGGCCGCTCTTCAGGTTAGCGAGGGGCGAAATCACGAGCTTGACGACTACTGCCAGGGACTGAAGAAGCATGCCGCCCAACTGGACCGTAACGTGAAGGCCACGGAGGGGGAGAAGGCTGAGCTAGAGCGGGCCCTCGCGCAGGCACAGACAGAACGGAGAGACCTAACGACACTGCTGGACAGACGGACGGCGGAGCTCAAGGAGGCGCAGACGTACCTCAACAAGGTCGACGACGTCGCCGACAGCGAGGTGCTCGCCCTCGTGCAGCGCATCAACACCCAGATTTTCCAGACGGCCGCGAAGATCTCCGACGACTTCCAGGCATTCTACGGCACGCAGAAGTACAGCGCCATCGTCAAAGAGGCCGTCGGGCGCTTGGATAAGTCGACCATGGTCGGCGCGGAGCTCCCCCTCATCCTGTCCACAACCGACCACAGCGCCGACCCCATCCTCGTGCAGATCGCGCTCCAATGTGCGCTCGCCACGCTGGCCTTTCATGCCGCGTCCCCGTGGTCCACCTCCTTTGAGAAACAGACGGCGTTTCTCCATTCCATATACGCGGAGATGTGCAAGCACGGTGCGTCTGCTGGCGTCAATATGTTCACGCGCTGACCCGAATGCCATCGTCCAAACAGAGCTTCAGTCCGTCTTCGGGCGATGGAGAACGATGACACTCACCTACGCGCGCGCTATCATCCCCGAGAAGACCCAAGGCGCATCCGCACACGCTTTGAAGATGATCGACTACGTCAACGACGTGCTCCTCGCGTGCGGCGTGGACGGGTCCCCAGAGCAAGTGCGCGACCTCGTCAAGCAGCACTACGGCAAGCGGCTGAAGCAGCTCGCCACACACGCTCTCGACTTCCGCCGCATCGCAGGCGAACAAATCGTGTCGCGCGATCTCCAGGTCATCGTCGTCTGGCCGCCTTCGCCGTTTGACCCCACATGGATGGAGGACGAGTGGGCGGACACGAAGAAACCTGCGAGCCCGACCGCTTCTCCTGCTGGAAATATCCTGTGCACGACGAACTTGGGCCTCATCCGGCAGGAGCGTAGGGCGGAGGCAGACAAGGACGCGCAAGACGCCGAGCCGATGAGGAAGGTGGTGATGCTGAAGCCCAAGGTCGTACTGCACAGCACCTTGCGCGAATTGCTGCCTGAGCCAGAGCAGGAGACGGAGGCGGGCAACGACGGCGGTATGTCTCCATCTCGAGAGGCTTTCGGCACACGACTGACAAAGGGAGAAGCCGTAGACGATTCCGAGATGCATTCGTAACCGCCCTTTGCTGCTTGTTCGTGAGCGCCGCGGACTTGATGTGTTTGTTCTTTCTGGGCCCGCTAGCCCAAACAGTATCTGCATCGTCGTGAGGAGCACCTATCATAGACCATCGACTAAATTCACGCACCATCACTTGTTCGTCTTCTCATACCCAACACCTGTCATTAGTACTCCAGAGCCGCACTCCACATTCTAGACCTTACTGAGCCCGACGTCGCGTGCGTGACGGAACCAAAAACCATGAATAAAGCCACAACCAAACTACACGTAAGATACCACCACAACTCGAGAGCAGACGTACGGCGCAAGAAACAAGGGTACCGCGGGCGCCCACGGCCCACCCAAGCAGCGGGCCCCGGCCCGCGCATGACACGGTAGCGGGAAGAAAGGAAGGCGGAAGCCAGCGCGGCCGGCATCGGCGACGACGACAGCGAAGGGGGAGGTGTCGCGCTTGGGATAAATAACGGGTATATATGCATAGCATACGACGCTGGCGCCTGCCTGGCGCACACAGAAGAGAAGGGGGTGACCATGCACGCGGGAGGGAAGGCAAGAGGGGAAACGGGAGCCGGGGGACGGCGAGGCGGCGGTCAATCAGGGGACGAAGGGTCGGCGCGGGGAATCACAAGAGGGACAAGGGTCATAGATGAAGTTCGTAAAATAGATGGGTGGGAGAAGTGACAGTAGTTCACATAAAGGGAAACAGTAGGCAGCCCTCCCTGCAGTGTCGTGAGGGAGGGCGTCGGCACCAGTACACGGAATCGTACAACCAGCTGAACACCAAGACGAGATCCAAGAGCGAGGCATCGGGGTTTATACGACGAGCCTACTCGGCGGTGCCGACGTATGCGTCGTCCTCATCGTACTTGCTGTATTCGGTCGGAGCGAGGCTCTTCCTGTTGATAGGAGTCGACGGGTAAACAGATTCCGGGGAAGTCGGCATGACGGGTGAAGCCGTGTCGGGGGAGTAGAGTGTGCGCATGCCAGAGCCGTTGTACTGAGCAGCGGGGGAGGGGAGGCCGGGGCTGGTAGCACCCATTGCGCGGCCCCCCGCTGCGTAAGCCCGCAACATGTCATCGGGAGACATGACGCTGGCGGGCATGGGCTGCATCGGCATCACACCCATGATGGGTGACTTCGGGGTCTGATGAGTGGGGCTGGGGAGGGTGGGCATAGCAACCTGAGGCTTGAAGAGCATGTCATCGTGGTTGGCAACTCCTTCGCCTCCGGTGCGCATCACTGGAAGGTTGGTCAGATATGCTCGAGGGATAAAACGAGACGGGTAACTCACTGGACAGGGCAGGCATGACCTCATCGATGCTGGGACGCGAGACAGACTCTTGACCAGCCATACGAGCGCGGATATCTTCGGCGGTCAAACTGAGAGCCCCAACCGTCTGAATAGGGGACAGGATGGGAGAGGAGCTGCTAGAGCCGTCCGTAGAAGGCATACGCTCCGGAAGGGGCGGGGCGTTGCCGACGTGGAAAGCACGAGACTGGCGGGGGCGACGAGACTCCGTTGACGGGCGGGGGTCGGCAGCGAACGAGACGCGAGAGACGCGGTTCTCAAAGGCAGATGTGCGGAGGCCGGGGCGGAGTTGAGACATCTGCGGCGCGTCAGGGTTGGCGTCACGTTTGAAGACGGTGCTGGCACCGATGCCCGCGTGTCCACCCTCCACGACGGTAGATGAGGGACGGATGGCGCCAAAAGAGAAGGACGAGAGGCGGCTGCCGGAGTCATGCGAGACCGCCATGCTGTTGCGTATGGCGGCGTTCGCGCCAGCGCCAGTCATGGACTTCCAGTCGGTGGAGATAGTCGACATGCGCTTGTCAATAGCCTGGCTGTAACGCTGGCGTTTCTCCTTGCCCTTAGCGCGGCTGATCTTAATGTAGGCAGCAACGCCAAGACCAGTAAGGAGCAGAAGGGGGATGAGCACCGCGGCTGCGACAGCGCCTTTAGAGAGGCCATGCTTTTCCGAAGGGGTGTTGTTGACCTGCTCGACTGCGCCGGCGATGGCGGTGTCTGCAGCACCAGAGTATGTCGCAGTGAAGAGGGGACCTGCAGGAGTGGTGACCATGAAGAGGTCTTCGCCAGCGGGGATGATAGTGATTTCCAAGTTGACGGAGGATGTAGAATTCCACCACCCGGGCTGGAGCGTAGCGGAATAGCTGCCGGTCGCGTAGTCGACGTTCTCCCATTCGTGGATGATGGGGCGCGAAGCGCTAGGGGCATACAAGTAGATGTCGACCGCGGTAGCGGTCAAGCAAGAAGTGTTCCAGCTGATAGTGACGGGCTGACTAGCGTCAACGACCTGTCCTTTCGTCGGGCTTTTGTAAAGGCCTCCGGTGGAGCAATCTGCAAAGCATGGTCAGCTACAACGCTCAAATTGACAGCCATCTCCGCCCTCCAATCCGTCCCTCAACATCGGCAGGTAAGGTGATTCTCTTCCGTAACCAGCACCACAAATGCCCTGGCCCTTGTATGCATGCTTCGCATCATAGGAAACTAAGTGAACACTTACCGTCGCGCTTGCGCTGATGGGTCGCGAGCGCATGCCCTAGACGGACGGTCTTGAAGCCGTTCTTCATGATTGGTCTGAAAGAGTGTGGGGAAAAAGAAGGAGTGATGAAGGAAGGGAAGGGAGCACGACGGCGAGGTCGACGGCGAGGTCGGCGGGCGACGAGGGCGACGAGGGCGGGGGAACGACGGCGACGGTGACGGCGAGAGACAGGAACAACAGACGGGCGTCTGTGTTGCTCAGCATTTAGACGCCCAATTGCAACTGTACCCTAATTGGGAAATTTCGAATACCGGTCTGTACTTGTAAGCCTCCTTGGATGTTGTGCAGATAATATCAGCTCCAGCCTCCAGCGTATATGAAAAACGAGTACTTGCATGAAGTACGAACGCGAGCATGGCTACACCAAGCGCGCGACGACGTTCTATCAGCACAAGCGGTAGGGCACGGGCGATTAGGCCGGGCTGATCAGCACTGGGCTAATTAGCACATGTAATTCACCGTGAGTGACCTGTGAATTAGTAGGGGACCCTCGAAAGGGGCCTGTCATTTTGGGTGAATTAGACCTTGGTGAGCGAGGTCAATCAGAGCTACATTTTGGTCAGTAATGATCGCGAGTGGCTTCAAAAATACTGTATAACTTACCGTCACACTTGCATTGAGTTTTGGGCCTCATTGTAAATCGAAGATGCCTTGAAAGGTAAGATGTCGAGTCGAAGACTCGAAGCTATTCCTCAAGTAGCGCTCGTTGCGCGCGTAGGCGCTTACCGTGACACCTCGACGAGGCTCACGCGAGTCAAAACTGACACGCCCGTATGGTTTCCGTATATATGTGCTCACATATCGTCTGCCTAGGGGAGACAAGGTCCGCCGAGATTTATTGTTAATCAGCAGTGGGAATTATGTCCAAGTCCCAAGTACTTAATCGCCCGTACCCTACCAAGCGGATGGGCGCTTGCATGCCAGCATTTCCGATTCCACAAAGAATCGGTCTTGCCTATGAGAAATGGATTGGTCACGTGAATCCAGGCGAACCCGGGTTCGGCCGTGAGTTTCCGTAGGTTCCCTTCCCTCTGGAGCGCTTGCATTTGCTTGCATCTGTTTGTTCTGTGGCGATCTTCATTCGCATTCTGCGACTCCTCGGGGGAGTCTAGCTATGGTGGTAGGCCCCCTAGGTCCTGACGGAGTTCTAAACCTAGGACCTACCGGCCCGCGCGGAACTGAGTAACGTGCAATGAGGGACAGTCACGAGCGAGAAATGGAGAACGCGTCGCGACGCGTTAGGGCGCTTAGAGATCTTGTCTCCTCGCCTTCACGCGACTCCTATCGACGTCTCTGCTTCTTACTACCCTACTTTGCTGTAATTACTATCATAAACACTTACAATGAATCGCCAGTCGCCTGGAGAACAACCGAAACGACGCCCGGGTCGCCCGAAGGGCTCAAAGAACAAGCCAAGTGCGAAGAATGTCGGACGTCCGCGGAAAGACGGGCAACCACCGCAGAAGCGTGTTCGTACAACGCAGGAGGAGCAGCGTCTTGGTAAGACATTGCTACAGGAACATCATTTCTTTTAAAGCTAATATGCTGCATGTCTCGGAAGAAGCGGACAATGCGACCACGTCTGCGG